ACATTAGAACCTTAATCCACATAGGCTATTTTTCTTTTATATTCAGGAGCAACTTCATTCATTTTATCATCATGCTTAAACTAACAGAGGAAGCTTTCTGCACTGTGCTCTTACTGTAACAATTCTAAATAACATGCAGTAGATTGCATTGAGGCCACTGTGTCACACATTCATCTCTTATTCAATAAAATAAGATTGAATTCTGTCTTGAATGGAGGAAAACACAAAAGGATGCTTGATAAAAATATACCCCAAAGACAGATCTGGGACCTGCTCAGAGGATTTCTAATAGTATCTGTTAAGGTAAAGTATTCATCAGTTTCATTTCCTTATTATACTGTTCTGTACAATGATAGCACTCACTATGGCGGTATCTGCCAAGGCTTTGATCTACTGTAGCTGCCACTAATGGGAACATCAGTGGAGCTTCTGCTACTCCAGTAGTCTAGTTTATCAGGCCTCATTTCACAAATAATTTATTAATACGGAGTCTATATATTCAAACTGAAAGCCAGCTAAAAATGTATACAATCATAAAGTGATAGATGGACATCTTCGGCACACATGGTCGTCTTTCGAAGAAGGCAATTTTCAGCTTCTAAATTCAGAAGGAATTTTGACATTTTCGGTGAAATATGAGAAGTGAAGGAAGGGGTTGTTAAAGATATCCATAAAGATTGGTCTACCATTTTTAAAAGATGAGATCACAAGAGGAAATTAAACCATCAGTAGGTGAAACAAATTTGAGAAGAACATTTAATTTTAGTTAGGTCTATCTAAAACACCCTATACAAACAGACCAATGAAGTGAACACCTTTTAAGATATTGTGCTGGTGTACAGGTTCAGCTCATCAATTTAATTAAAAACCTATTGGGGAAACAACTGTGATACATGACTGTGCTTTCTAAAATGGCAAAAAAACTATGTATTGAGTAAGGAAATGCCTGCTTCAAATTCACTTGTTTTTTCTGTCCTTCATCCTAGGTGATACATCATTCAAAGCAAACACAGAAACTAGAAATATTTTTTTGTGTGTGTGTGCTATACCTCAAAATAGGTCTGTCAGTAAAATGCACAAGACTGTATTATTTTAAAATGTCACTGATATGTACAATGGTACTGTATATCTCCTCCTCCCTCCCAACCTCATCTACCTATTTTTTGTACACAGCCCTAGTAAAAATGTTTATTTTAATACCACCCTGCATCACTCTGGAATTACATGTGTTCCAGCTCTGCAAGATAATAACACTCTAAATATCACACACAAAACCACAAATCTGACAATAACTCAATACTGACATCCCACACATTCCTCAAATCTCAAAACTTCAACCCTGAAATATTAGCTATGCTTCTATCACAGGATGGGAAATCATTTCTTTTTTCAGGAATCTAAATTATGGATGCAGTATAGGCTGAGCAGAACACCAATAACTTTGTTATAGTCACCTTGATCATTAATGAATCATTTCTGATGCCATGTTTTTGACATGGTTGTGATTAATGCTTTCTCCCCTGTAGGAAAACTCTAATTAAAAAGACACCAGATCCTAATCTTCAGTTTGGATGTACAGTATCCCCAACCAGTAGAGCATTGAAGTGTACTGAAAATTACACAAAGGAAAGGATGCATAAATATCAATTTCCTATACCTCCAGTTTGGCCCAAACACAATGCACTTCTCTCCAGCATGAAACTAAACGAATAAACATCATGGTCCATTTTAACATTAATTCAGAACTGTTGTATTTTTTGTAAATAAAATCACTGCAATATTTCATCTGCCATTATCGAGCAGCTTACAGCAAAACTCCACCAAAATTGATTTGTTTCCCATGGCTCAAATTTTATTGTTTTCACTGCTCTTTGTATAGCATTTGCACTGCTCCCAGTAGAGAGCACATGACAACATAATCCATTTCAAATCATGTTTTAAAGCCTGCTCTCCTTTTCTTTTACTGTGGTTTTTGAAAGTAATTAATCTTTCACCTTTGAGTTTATGCAACTCTGCCATCCCCTTCCCTTGTGTTTCATGAAAAAGCCTTTGGAGATTTAAAAAAAGAGAGAGCCAAGGCTTAAGCTGGAGATATTTAACAGATCCACATGCATGCATTTTTTACAGAGCTGGTCACACACTACTTAGAACCACAAGTTCAAAGGTTAATAATAAATGTTCCTAAAATGATCCAGTTCTGACAATATTTACAACATAGAGAGACTTAATGCAATTAAATTCACAGGTTTGAAAGAATTCTTGACATATTTTATAGCTCCAACAAAATGCAATAGGTTTTGTGTTGACAACATGAGAAACCCCTGTATAAGGATCACAGCCCACTCCTGGAGCAGAATCTGGAGTGCCAGGAAGAGGGTTGACGGGGGTAATCATTCATGGACAGTTCATGACTAGCACACACATACTCGCTCCTAGCATGGCTACCACAGAGCTGTGATGCTGTGAGTCTGTCTGGGCAGTGTGAGATGCAGCACCTACTTCACAAAGATTCCTTTATGGAACAAAAAGGATCTCCAAATTGAAATATCTCTTTATGGAAAAAAGAAAATATGACTTGGATAATTTTCTCACTGTGACCACCATAAGAGATGAGCATTCAGTGACCACCAAAGCACACAGTTCAGGCTATGAATGGCAGACTGGGCCAATGAATACTCCTGTATGCTACACTGCTGCATGGCCACTACATGAGAACTATCAAAACCTGGACTCACATTTGTCCCAAATGGCTGACCGCATCTGCAGTATTATCATAAAAGAAGAGAAACGGGAATGCTTTCTCCAATAAGACTTATTTTTTATGCCTGCAGATGAAATTACTTGACATGCAGTCAAAAGGTCAAAGTGGCAGGAAGCCCAAATTATATTAAAATCTCAAAATCTGTGACACACAAGTCTTGTTATTAAAGGATATTAATTTAAATTTCAGTCACCGCCATCAACAAAAGCAAAAGAAAACAGCAAATGTATTCTGTTTTAAAAAAACATGCATTCAAGTTATTTAGTCCTGTATAAAAAAAACAATCCTGGAGGTACAGTAACATGAAATGACAATAAGATGCAGGTGGCTAATAATAATATGTTAATGTAATATGAAGTCTTTGCTGATGATTTACTTTCCAGGGTCATGGAGTTTCTTGAAACAGCCAACTTCTGCATAATCAAGCCACATTCTCCTCATTACTGCAAAGGAATATCTTACATTTTATCTTACTTTCAAAAACTAGGGTCAGCTGCCCCTCAGAGATTAAATTCATTCTAGCAATATCCAGAATTTAAACAAAAAGCATAAAAAACATCATTATACACCATTCTGGACATATACTGTATAGTTCTGACAATGTGTGATGTAAATTTAACCTTTATTCAAGTTTTATATGAAATGATTTGGTGACATGAAACTGACAACTTGGTACATACTGTACTGTATAATCTATACAAAATATATGTAGTACATATGAGATTTATAAACCAATAAAATAAAACTGGCACAGTATAACTGTCTTTCCATTATATTCCCACTATCCATCCACCAAAAAGATAAATGGTTAAAAACCTATCCAGATTCATACCACCAATTTAATACGGACTTCAACTCATTATTAATGGAAGACATTGCCAACTTGCTTTCATGGTAGTCAGCAGATTGTCACACTTGATTTCAGGTTGCCAAGTTTTAATCAAATCACTGAAGCCCTGTCCTAAAATGTACTGCAAAAACTGGGCTGACTATACATTAAACCCCTACTCGGCCACGTTCTACATTTCATCTTTCTTTCTTTTGTCAGACATTTTAAATGGCATTTAAACAATCCTTAAAAAATTCCTAAAAGGATTAGAACTATGCTGTATGACAAAAACTGGGCAATTTGGGTAATTGTTTATCTAGTATACACAATTCAGTTTATACAGTACGTGCACATAGTGTAGATCGTATTAAGTTCCTTGTATTGTTTCTATAACATAAATCCCATCAGCACTGCAGATGGTGATGTTCCTTCCAAAAACATTAAGCGCTTTAATCCCTTTAAGAGGCCTCTGTTCAAGGTGCTGTTTCTGTATCTGCAAATTAATACGCCTGAATATACTGCACAATGTTCCATATAAAGTGAAATGTTCCCATTTATTTCCACTTGGCAATTCCAGGGTTTTAACGTGGAGGAAAAACTGATTTTAGTTCTTCTTTATAGAGAAAGCCAGTCTTTGGAAGTCATTTCAAAGATGTGTATGTATGTATACTGTATAAGTATATAAATACAGCTACTGTATATAATCACTGCATATGTGCTTATATGAATGAAACTTTAAGCTTTAGTTTAGAAGCCATTACCTTAATTTAGGTTTTTGAATGATACAAATTAAAGTGAAATCAAAGCACATACAGTAAATGGTTTGGCTTAACCCACCTGGCTGAGAGAAAAACAGCAAAGCCATATGGACACTCCCTCCATCCCACAACCACTGTGGACCAAGCCAAGAAGTCTCCACAAAGAAAAGGAATGAGCAGCAATGAATGCTGGGAAGGTGTTATCTGTTTTGGTTGTCTTGCTCCTGAACCTCCATAAATTAAACACAGTACAGTACGTAATTCAACCTGTGAATATTTCCTTTTGCTTGATTATAAGTCAATATTATCTCACTGGGGAAGAAAAGGCCCACTCTAAGACTGAAACACACTGTACATTTCTAAAGCTGTGTAAGAGAAAGATGTCTATTTGCTGAGTATTTTGACAGGAAATTGTCCTTTTTTCCTTCAAGCAAGTAAGCACACTGCTATTTTTGCAGCTATTTATTATTTGAAGGCTTTCATTTACTTTTTAAGGGTCTTCTCTTTGTGTTGCAAAATCTTACACATCTTTGCTTTCAAATCTTACACAATCCCATTTGAATTAAATCTTTGTGAAATGCTGTGTCTGGGTGATGAAACAAAGTGCTTAGAAACAGTAAATGATCTTTGACACCAAACACAGATAACTTACCTTGCATGCAGAATGTACATCTCCTATCACAAGGGTATCTCTAAGCTGTGTATAGGCTCTTCAAATAAAGCAGGCACCTGAAAAACTGGGACATAAAAAGTGATACATAGCTTTAGAGTTGCATTATGCTCCAATGTATTGTTTCATCCTTTAGACAAAGATGAAGATATTGCTTTGTCAGGAAAGATGCCCATGCCTCTGTTGTCTAAATCAAGTTATATAGGGTTACTGAACCCATTAAAAACCTATTTCTCTGGTAACCAGCTGCCTTTCAATTTTGCCAGTGTCTGTTTGTGTCTTGGGCATTTCACACTGAAGTGACACTATCACAATACTACATTACATTTGTATAGTACCTTCAGGTAAAGTCTTGGAAGGGCACAACACAATACAAATAAAAGCTGAGCCAGATGCTGAGCGACACTAAATTAAACTTTAGAATGGAAATGTTGAGTGAATAACTGTACAGTTAATTCAAGATACAATGCAATAAATACACACAGTACATCCATCTCCATCTTGCAAAAGCATAGCCGAAATAATGATACACCACTGGAAGCAGATTAAACTATTGCCTTAGTTTAGCCTTCACGTTTGAAATGCTGCAGCTGACACAAATGAGCAAAAACTAAACATGTAAAATATATTAAATTTGCAATTAAGGAAATAATGTATTAAGTTTCAAAGATCTGCAATGTTAAACTGGAACCTGAGATATTAGTTTTGTTAATAAGCAGACATCACAAGACGGTAAAAAAGGAAATTTTAAAGTTTCTGAACTCTCAAAGTTCAGAGCTCAGAATCAATTTTTGATAAACTTCATTGTATTAAGTAAAAAGACACATTTTGATGCTATCTCTATGAAAAAATAGACTACCGAGTGCTTGAGATGTGTAAAAACTGTATTTGCCCACCTGAAATGTGTACAACCTTTATGTCCCCACCAAAAAGAATAGATTGGGAAATTTGTTCAAGATTTCACAGCCAACACCACTCAATCCATGGAAAGTAAATCCCATATATCTTTGTAGCATTTGCCTGCTGCAGATACTCAGTACAGAATAACATACTCTGGATCTCGGGACAGTCTCCAAGTGTAATCTTCTATCTCAGCAGTCATCAGCTAATTGCCTCTGACTCATGTGTCCAGCCTGACAGTCATTTTCATTGATGGCTACTGTTTGTTTGCAAGTGTGTTCTATCACTGCACTAAAATACCAGGCTGGCAGCTGTTGGCATCTTCTGTCCACTTCACTGATCTGGACATTTGTACAGCTGAGCATGATACTGCTTAATGTATGTGAACTAAAGAATTCAAGAGCTGTCATACTAGGAGAAGCTGATCATCTCAAATACATTTTAATGTAGCCTGGCATTCTTCCCTTGGGCCATGGCATCAGCAAAATCTGTACTGCTCATGCGGAATCATCAAAGCCTGAAAGAGGCTTATTATAAACCCAGATATAGGGTGATATTGAGCCCATCTTGAAAATGACTCAGTATTATGTGTATTAAGTATTAAGTATTAAGGAGTTTAATTAGAAATGTGCATATATTTACAACTTCCTCACAGTTTGAATTCATGTCTGAGATCCCTGAAGGTTGCAGACAACCCAAATACAATCATGGAATGTAGCAGATTTCTCATTAGCAAGAATATCTACACCCTGCTGGTCAGGTCTTCCAAATATGGTGCAGCATTTAAAGAATTAAAAAAAATAATAATTGCCATCATCCACCTAAAAGGTCAGGTTTACTCCCAAAGCTACTGCCAATATCTCTTGTACAGCATTTGGAATCTATTAAAAAAGTGAAGTGATAAAAAAACAAAGTGCAAGGAGTTCACAAGTGATGTGACTTTTTCAGTTCTGGGATTTACTGTACATCAGATTAAAATCACTTTAGCTTGATTTTATAGCAAAGCAGTTCTTATTCTTATCTGAATTTTAATGTAATAAATACCCCTGGTGTTAAAGAAAAGAATTGGCTGCACTGAACAAAATTAATTTATTGGCCTGCATTACATCAGCGGCAGAGACACAAAAATTATAACACTGCACCACCAGTCCATCATCTGGCGGACTTAAACCACCTGTAATGGATACAAAGAAATGTACTGTAATTTAGATTTCACCACATTCCTTTTTTGTTGTAAAGTGCAGCTGAATTTATATTCGAAATACACGTCTTTTAGCTACTACTGTATACTGTATGTTGTGGCTGGGATTACAATTACAACTGAAGTTTGGCTCAAGATATCATAATATTGGCTTTAAAATGCATTAAAATAAGAGAGTTCAGCAAGTGGAAAGTGTTTTTTCAAACATTGTTTTTTTGTCCATTTTTTGACCAACCAGTGGGTCATAAAACATTCCAAAAGTGGTCAGAATTTTATTTTCAGCTAAACAGCATGTAGTAAATCACTTTTCCTGCATTTCAAACCCTCCCAAAAGCACTGCAAAGGCATCAGAAATTGTCTATGCATTGCAAAAATCTTAACCCTAACCCTATGTATTTGACATACTGTACAGTACATGTGTTTTGGCTATGCTGTGGGTAGGATTATAATTACCACTAAAGCTTGGCTCAAGATAACATAATGTTGGCTTTATAATGCAAAAAATAAGAGAGTTCAGCCTGTGGAGGGTGTTTTTTCAAACACTGAAATTGTGGCCATTTTTGACTGGCTGGCGGGTCAACAAAAGTGGTCTAAAAAGTGGTCCTAGACCCCCTATCTAAAGCTAGGCCTTAATAAACTGAGTTGAAGCTGGGCTGTGATGATTTCAGAATCGATAAGAATCTTTTCAAATACCAACTATAAGGTTTTGTAAAATGTGTGTGATGTGAATGTGATTGAGATTTCACCTCATTTCTTTTTTTGTAACATGCAGCTGAATTTACATTCAAAATACATGACGTTTGGCTACTACTGTACTAACAAAATGGGAACTCTGGCAATATTTAATTTGGGGGGAGACCAAAGATAATGCAGTCTAGATTGTGTCAAATGACTTTTGAGACAAATGTAGAGAACAATTAACTTACTCAGATTCTAAAGTTTAGTGGCAGGATTTTTGCAAACAGTACTTGCATTGTGAATTGGGATGCACTTAGCTTGGGGGTGTAGGTGATGACTTGCCTTGTTGTGAATCATCTTAATCAAATCACCCCACAGGCCTCCCTGGTTCTTCATATGAGTGCTCTTCTGTTAAGTCCCTGAACATTCATTAAAGTACCACTGATTGTACATATGCTTGGGAGACTTCAGTTTTTGCTTTGATCAGAATCTCCTCTTAGGATTTTGTTTCTGTGCTGCAGAAAACACTGAATATTAGCAGGAATGCATTAATCTTCTCCTACAGCATAGTATTTAAAAACTACAACTTATCTGGAGCACTGCTCTCTGATGCAACAGATGTCCTCAGGCTTCACCTGAAATGTGCTCTGTGAAAAGTGGTGAAAGATTCAAAGCTGTCGGATCCCATCACATCTCCTGTTGTTCAGAAGCAGAACCCAAAATAAACCTCACAACATCACAGATGTAGAGCAGTTGAAAACATTCTGATTGATTTTGGAGTCATTAGAGCCCAGCTTCAACTCAGTTTTTTAAGGCCTAGATTGAAGGGGGGGGGGTCTAGGACCACTTTTCAGACCACTTTTGTTAACCCACTGGTCAGTAAAAAATGAATACAATTTCAGTGTTTGAAAAAAAAAAACCTTCCACAGGCTGAACTCTCTTGTTTTTTTGCATTTTGAAGCCAACATTAGGATATCTTGAGACAAGCTTTAGAGGTAATTATAATCCTACCCACAGCATAGCCAAAACACATGTATTTCAAATACAAATTCAGCTCCATGTTACAACAAAAAACAAACGTGTTGAAAACTCAATCACATTCACATCTCATACAGTTGCAATACCTCAAGTTGGTGTTTGAAAAGATTCTGATCAGGTTTGGAGGTTCTGATCAGGTTTGGAGGCATTAGAGCCCAGCTTCAACTCCGTATGTTGTAGGCCTAGGTTTAGATAGGGGGTCTAGGATGGCCCAACCTAGGGTTAGGATTAATGTTTCTACTATGCATAGACAATTATTGATGGTTTTGCTGTGCTTTTGGGAGGATTTGAAATTCAGGAAAAGTGATATATTCTGTTTAGCTAAAAAAAAAAATTTGGACCACTTTTGGAATGTTTTTTTGACGTGCTGATCAATCAAGAAATGACATTAAGACATTAAAACACAGATTCTGACTTCTTACAAGATAGTATCTCTTGCAGACTGCGCTCACCAGCACTAGATTCCTAAAAGGAAGTGTGGAAATCAGGCCAATCTTTCCATCTATGAATTATGAACAAACAATTTGTGTTTCAGAGATGGTGTCTTTGACCAACACTACACATTAGATTCTAGAACAATGCACTACACATAGCAACCTTGATCAGAACACATTAAATACAATGCTATATTGTTATTATGGATACATTTGTTTCTATTAAGCCTGTTATTATGATTCAACTTAAGCTTCAGCAAGCTCTAGACTTCTCTGTAGAAGGTGCAAACGTAACCCCTTTCTGACACTAATACATGTGAAAAAAATCATTGTTATTTAACCACAGCCCTTGCAATTATCTTTCTTAATGGAATCAGCGTCTGAAAACGCCCCCATTTAATTTACCAGAAATGTGTCAAGCAACAGTATAGCTCCGTTTGAAAGGAACTTGTATATGGTATTCCTCTTTAATAGGAGTGTTGCGTTTCCGGTTTTCTGTAACTTTGTAGTTTTTTTGCGGATTTTTCTAATACAACTGTGGGTAATATAGATAACATTCCAAGGGACTGACTCGCAATCGAAAGATATTAAATGTTCTGGAAACTACCGTACGCATATTCATACAATTAATCGAAGCTGCAGGTCCTCGTCCATCACATACTGAACTGAAAACAACACGGACACATTTCAGCAAACAGCAAACAGCAGTTGCACAGTAATTGCAGCACATGGAATCGCTATTAACGCCTATTGTTTACAAAGCAAAATACTTTGAAACGATTTGTGAACAGGTAGAGGTAAGTTATTCTTGACTGTTGTTTGGTGAATTACACAATACAAACTACCCCTAACCTACAGTATGCTCTTTATTAACATTATTCACACACATAAAAATAGCAGCTTCCTACCTACAGTATGTCTCTCCTATTACAGTACCTCCTTGTTTTACCGTCGGGAAATACTTTTGTTCCTGTCTGTTTTTCTTTCTTTGATTTGTTAAACGGTTAAAATACTTCTACACCTGTGCCCAATCAACTCTCTCACTAATGGTTATGCAGCGTCAAAGTCACGCGAGTGTAAAAGTCAATCAACATTTTAAAAAAGTTGATGAATTAATCACAAATATTCTAAAAACATTCAAAATAACAATACATAAATAGGTTTCTTTTGATACGCAGAATGTACTCTCTTAATGTCATGAAGGCCAATTTCGCGAAACATAATAGACCAAATTAATTCGTCGTCCCTCACAGCGAGTCCTCTGCCTTCAAAACGAACATCTGCAAGAAGTTACTTAAATAGAAATATCCAGTAATTTTCTATCCTTAAGAGTGCGCACTTTTATATTTTTATAATTGGCACAGTTATATTTCATGCACAGGGAAATATTTTTTTTACCGTGCTGTTAAGGGTATCTTGTAGTGCTGTGCACTTCTTTACTGTAAAACCTAATTTTAGTGTTGTTAGTAGAGTCTTTATGTTGAAGCAAGAATTCAGCCGAAATGAGCCACTAAAGTCATTCTGGGGACTATTAACTAATCCCCATCTGCTATACAGATTTTCTTCCTTTACCTAGAATCCCTATTAATCCCAATTACAGGGCTCACTAAACAGCCCTCTGAAGATGACTAGATGGTGAAACAGCAAAAAAAAATCTTGGACCTAAAAGTCTTAGAAAGAGGATTAGATGATGATAGACTGATAATCAGTCATAAAATCATAACCAGAGAGATCCTGCTACTTACCATGGATTATAATCACTTGCAAAAGCAATTCAGATGTGCTCTGGATACAGTTCCAAATGTGTTGGATCTTTGCAGTCAAATCCCATCCTTGCAAAAAATGGCACTCTTGGGATTCTTGCGTCACATGACTCTGAATAAGATGAGTCTTCTACGACTACCGCTAACAATACCACAGGGTAGATTTAATGCCATGAGCATCTTCTGAGTAGCAAGTGGATCTAAATCCATGTATCCGTATGCATTATCAGAATGGTAAAATACAGAGCCTATCCTACCAAGGAAACACATACACATGAGCACTCAGGGACAGTTTAGTGATTGTCTCCCATCTACATCTGTGAGTGAATATTCCATCTTATCCCGTGCTTGCTGGACTGGACTCTAGCTCTAAGGATAACATGCTGAATTAGAATTGTTAATGAACAAGTAAGAACCACATGAAGAGGACAACCAATATGTACTGTACAGTATGTTCACTTCTATATCATTCTTTCACCAATGAAATACTGGACACTGAAACCGGTTTTCTGTATGGTTAAATATCCTTTGACGTAGATATTGGAGAAGCAAGAACATATTTGATTTGTGCCTATTTAGTATCATTATTGATAGAATAATGTTCTATGCAGTTTAATACTGTCCTTATAAACTCTTAAGAAATGCAAAATAGTAGCGATGGAGATCTGAACAGTCAGATTGCAATCAGGATAACTGATGAGATATACCAGAGGGCAACTGTACTGTACATGGATTTGTTTTGTATCTGCTTTTAAAGTTATTCTGGCACTACCACATTCTGCACTGGAGTCTATGAAGATGACCTAATTGTTGTTTTGTAATTAGAATAAAGAGATACTCTTAAGTATGGTCAAAGATCTGAGATTGTTTATCTTTTTTTAATAATGCTTTTATTTTCAGATGTTATAAGAGAGTTTGGGAGTAATAAAATACAATTGTTTAACTCCATTTAAAATTAGTTTCATTTGTTTAATGGTGTAATGGCAACCAATGTTTTAGAATGGGAAAGAAAATCATGGAATAGAAGGCACATTTCTAGCAGCCACATTTTTCAGGTCTGAATTGTGCTTTGCAAAGAGCCATCATTCTAATCAGAAACATGCATTACATCCATTTGGAATAATCAGTTGTATTTCATCTATTTTATGCACAGTCCAACAGGAAGTGTTTGCTGAACTGACACACTGACACAACAGTTCTGAAAAATACCACTTTGTGCTGTTTTATAGTTCACTACTGGCCTGCAGTCATTCCAGTGTGTGTTCATATTTAAGAGACAAACAGGGTTTCAAATCTACAGGACGAGTAAAGGTGCTTCCAAAAGCATATCTTTACTGAAAGAAAGTAGAACTAAATTCACGCTCTGGCAACGGCAACTGATCTGTCAGGTAAGCAGTTAAAAGTGTCTGCCTCACTGTATAGCTCCACAATGACAAGAAGTGTCACAGCAGCATTAACCTTTGGTGTCCTGGTAAAGTCTCGTACAATAAATACCATCAGCATGGTATCACACTAATGCACTGTTCACGGTGAAGGTGAACACTCAAAAAGACTAAACAAGCAAGCATCAGGGAAATTAATTCTCCTTGCTCTTTTTTTCTGCATTGCCTTTTCTAGCCTATTAGAAATACAATTACAGATAAGAAAAACTCCACTGCAGAAAGAAGTGTGCATTTCCACATTTTAAATGTGAAACTCCCAGGATCTAAAGATAAGGTTGAGATGACTTATTTGAGGTTATGCATTGCCACTCACTGACTTTGCATGTTTTTAGGGCTTTTGTGGACAAAGGTATCTTCTGAGCAGGTTGTCAAGAGATCACTGTTTGAACATCAGTCTTTGGAAAATGTTTAATATTGTATTAATGGAAATGTGAAAATGGAAATCAAGATAAATCATATGTGTTATGCTTTAGATTGTCTGCAGGATTACAGCACTTATTTTTGTTTTTTGTAAATGCAAATTAATAATTTAATTGAAATATGTACTTTTTAATGCTAAAAAGAGATATAATCAATACAGCATTTAACTCAAAACAATTTATCCGATATTTCTCAAGGAAATCAAGGAAATACTTTATTGTTTTACAAATTAGTCACTGATTTTTAATAGAAAGACAAACCATGTGATTTTATAGTTTTAATAGCAACATCATAGTACTAAGTGTACACAGGAGGAATCAGATGAGAACCGCATTTACAGTGCTTTCAAATACAGAGCTCAGAAATACAAGAGTAAACAAATCAAGATCACCTAGAAATTTAACATCTTACTAATATTTAAAAAAGAATATAGAACTGTGATCCATAAGACAGGAATTAAAAAAAATAATCAAAAAGAATTATACAACATTTAACTGACACAGTAACTGCATCTGCATATGATTGATAAATGCATGTCTGTATATGTATATTGTATGTATTTGTGTGTATATATACATATATATAATATGTATATAATTTCATATTTTATACTTGTATACAAAAGGAACAGAGGTACTCCTTGATATATTAAACACAAATATAAAAAGATAAAGATTCCACTACGTACAAACATTTTTATTTTATGGTAACAACAGAAATTTAATCAAGTTTCCTGTAGCATCATGGATTGCAGTGTTGGCTAAATAAAATGCATCACCTCAAGAAGAAAAGCTGACCTATTTCTTCACATAATGTAGTTCAACAAATTGGGGTTTATATTTCAGTATCTCTAGTATTTCCCTGTGGGAAAATCATAATACCATCAGTAGGAACGTTCATTCTTTCAGCAAGTTAAGAATTCCCATGGGAACCATAGTTAGGTAGTAGCTAATATGACAAAAAGGCCTGTGGTACTGTGCCAAAATGTGTTTCAGTTCAGTTTAAAATTATATATTCTATTTGTGTCTTCCTTGACAAATAAAATGTCTTGTCCAAATCCCTGAAAAGATCTAATACATGGCTTAAACAGCTTCATGAGCAGGAAACTCTAGCTAAACAGTTAATATCACATTCATAAAGTGCTTCTTGTACCCGAAACCTCTTTTTAATGAAAAAATGTCAACATGATAAAATATAAGTTAAAAAGTGCTTAAAATGGTGACAGCAAGTTAAATCAAATCTTATCACCAAATAACTCATGAAGAACATACAGTAATAGAGTTTGTATTGTTTTACCACACTATACAGTATGTGTACATTAAACACAAAAATATTGCTGCCTGCATCTTATTTCCATATAAGTGTGAAACAAAGTACCAGACTATATTTCAATTTCAGAATAAGTTACAGTAAGGTCAGCTTTTGTAGACAACGTGAGGTTTTTAAAAACATTTAAAAAAAAAACCAGAAGGAAAACATTCTAAAATAGACTTCCAAACTGAGAAAAATTACTGCAACTTACCAGTTTCATGTGTAATGCATTATCCCTTGGCATGGTGTACAGTTTCACAATATCTGTGAAAGTGAATCTGGTAAGCAAGACTATAAAGTAAAGTCCCTGTTGTATCCTAGTTACATTGATGGCATGTTTTAGAAAAAATATGGTAAAAAAAAAGAGGTGCTGATTTTTCACACTTGAAAGAGTTGCTTAGTCATTGCTGATTTTGTCCTGGTGTACTGGATGCTTTTCATACACCACAACAATCCTTAGTTTGAACTGAATACTGTCTTCTGATACTTGTTCTCAGACAACTGAGCACTTAATTAACCTGCCCCAAATGTGAGACTAAAAGGGTGCTCCTTCATTTCCTTTATTAATGTACCTGTATATCATCTGAGTACTTGCAATAAACCTCAACCTGTACAGTCTCATGACAATATACCCTGCTGTGCAAAAGTCATAGACATCTCAGATGCAATTGATTACAACGTGTTAAGGTCATCAACAATTTACACACAACCTCCACTAGTCTTTTACACTATTACAGTACAGTATAACAACTTTATCGTAGTGTTATTAACACAACTAGGTGAGAAGAAACCAAATGTCTCATTTAGCAATCCTTAATGTTCTTCGGTCAGTCTTCAAATACAGTACATGATCAGAACAACTCAAGATAAACTGTGGCCCAAGAATCGTTGACGTGGCTATACTTCCTCGTTTACTTATCAAATCAAATTCACTGATTGTCGATCAGGATGACAAAATTACTTTAAACAAAATGACTAACATGTCAGTGTTCAAATGGTGGCTGCACAAAAAAACAGAGTGTATAAAAGCTTAACAATGCAAGGTGTTTTTGCACAGAATGAATTTTACACAGCAGTGTACATATTACAAGAAAGACTGTGCTGAACATGTACTGTGTACATACATTGTATATTTTTAAATTAAATACTTTTTGCTGTGCTTCTGCCATAGCACATACTGTACCTTATTCATTAATATAAGACAACGGTTTAAAGGGTTTGGAAGAACCATAATTATTATATTTGAAGAATTACAAAATGTCCCTCTATTTTATTAGTTATTCTACTTTTTTATATATATTAAATTACCATTGGTTTTTAATACAAGGGCAACATTCTCTTGGGGTTACCCCAGATATAGAACAGACACATCTGCTACTGGTATTCACCTAACCTTACTTTGTTTGCTTTTCAATTTTTGCCTCTTAGCATTTTATGCTCAACAGCCCTTTGCTTCTTGCACATACTGTATCAATGTCAACCGCAAAGGCGATCACTGAACTCTGAAAATTCTATACAGCAGTTCTGAGACATGAAAACTGTATTGTAATATACCACACACAAGAGAAGAAAATCAGACAATCTTCTGCAACAAGCCTTGCTTTAGAATTAGTCAACAAAAACAGTTTCCATTGAGATGACATTTTTCAAATGTGAACTATCCTCTCATCTGGGATGTCTGTCAAGTTTTTTTTCTTCACTATTTTCATCGGAGAATATTGTTGAACATTTATTGAACAAGGCTGTATGGCATTTATTGTACAGAGACCCATACTCACTCATTGCAATTTCTGGTACTTTTAAGAGCAGATGATTTTATGAAATGGTTTTAAATCAATGCCAGATTCGCACATCGAAAAAATAAAATATGTAACAGAAGCCAGGTGTGGCTTTTCTCCTGTCAGAGGCTCTAAATGATTGGCTTTGTGCATATCTCTCAGAGAATTAATGAATCGCATCACTGAATATTTTGCTTTCTCCATGTGTTTAGACAAAATAGATCTAATTTCTTAATCAGACAGTTGACAGCTGTACCTTACAATGCCATAAATACAATCTCAATACAGTGTCCCATACAATGTGCAGAGCAAACACCTTATACTGTATATCCTGACTGTTACCAAGATTAAGGGCATATTTGCTGGAGAAAGAAATGTATAAATAGTACAAAACACAGAAAAGCATTTGTTGGAAATACAGTATGTAATCCCAGAATGTATCTGTGAGATGTAATGGTAGTGTCAAACATTTTTAGGAGCAGTGAACCAACTTATATTCCTTAGAAGACATATGTGTTTATTTGTTCTACTGTACATTTGAAGCACAAGATAAGAATCCCCCAAAACAGCTTTCTATATTGATCTGCACAGATCTCTAATTTACTATTTTAAATATTTTTACTCCGCAATGATCAACACAATTACTGTATTACTGTGTGAATATAATTAATAAAGCAGCAAGTTTCAGTTGAAACAATGTAACATCTCCATGAAGAAAACTGAAGTGAAATTTGGGCACGAGATCAGTCTATACATTTCCATAATTCTGTGCATTTTGTTTCATAGTTTCTAGTGGATCTCCAAACTGCCCTCAACCTCAAAACCTCAGATACATTGAAAATCTGTTGAACGACTCCCTTGCAGGACTATTTTATATAATATTAGCCTGTTGATTTTGAAAAATATAAGGCATCCATCTCCTGTACAGTACGTTATACAGATTGAAAACATTGTGTAATAGCCCATGCAAAGGTAGATAGATAAGACTTTATTGATCCCGTAGGGAAATTGACGAAAGTGTTCATTTGTTCAGTAATTGTGCGTTAAGATAACTCTCTTGAAAATAGTTCTCTTGCCTTCAAATTTGGTCCTTTTCAGGTTAAAATATATTTCCTCTGCAATCAGACATAAGTGTACTTAAAATGTAGCTTTCTTAAAAAAATAGTGTTAAATGTTTTCACTGAAAATGCTATAGAAATACTGCTTGAATTTACAATGAAGGAATTTGGCACAACAATGATAATGTAATGAAAGAATACCTTTTGTAATCCATTGTGAAGATTGAAAGACACAACCCCCAACCCTTCCAAAAAAAGCCCCCAATTAAAAACTACAACACAGAGGTACACAAATAGAAGTAGGGATATAGAAAAAAACATTTACACTTGTAATTTACATCAATTTATATCCTTCGGACTTTTAAAAATGCTTACTTTCAATAAAAATGTTAAATCAGGCAGCAGCGACACAAGCTTGGACTCACATCTTAGGTTAAAGAGGCAGTTATCTCTTACAGGAGTGTAAAAGCATTCAGAGTAGGTAACAGAAAAAGACTGTAGTATTACCCAGCCAGTGTGTTTTAAGAACAGTAAAATGGCACAACTAAGCACAGTAAATAGACCTGGTCAACTTAAACCTTATGACAGTAAGAATGCTGCAATAAAATGTCTGTTACAGACTTCCTAGTAAACATAACAGTGTTCACTGCAAGTTCTATAAATATCTTTCTGAGTAAAATCAATGATGAGATTCCTCTTTTCACATTTTATTGTTATCTGTTCTGGTAAACAACATTCATTCATTTCTTTTTTTCAGATTTTTAAATTAGACTTTTTATATACTACAGTTCAGTCACATTTAAGCGTACTGCACTTAAATATTAGCCAGAGCATGGACCAAACAGTAAATGGCTTAATCACTTCCCCCAATGTTGTCTGACTCCTTCTTCTTTACTTACTCCAAAGATACCTCTCTAGGGTATACATGAAGAGCTTGCTCGGTTTTTCCTCTCATTCCAGTGAAAGCAGAATTCAAAGAGGAGGATATCAATCTCATTTGCATTAAACTTTGGGTACATCATTTTGTCCACATCAGATTTAAATGTTTCTCCAAGACATCCCATGAGAGATACTGCCACTAACATATGGTATGCATTAAAAAGCTAATTGTGGCTTAAAGAAATTTTACAATAAAAGGAAAAAAACAAGTTTGCATTAATGCACAAAAGCGATGCAAAAAATAATATCCATTAATGATGAGGATCATCTTGGGCTTGTGGCCAGGAGAGTCTGTTTCTCACACTGGACACCAGGGGGTAATTAAAGGGGTAATTAAAATATATTGATATTAATTAACAAGAGGGCTCTACTGCTTGTGTTGCCAATGCGATTTCTAGTTTATCTCTTCATATTTCTCTCACTCTTAGTATAAAAATAGACAGTCCAGATCAAATTCAAACGGGAAACCAAGGATCTTATGGAAATGCCTTAAAATTATGCACTGTACCACCAACACTATAGAAAGCTATTCAACTTTTTTCATATTGTATAGTGCTTCATACAAATGTTTGAAAGTTGCGACAACTCCTGAACAACATTAAAATGTATTCAAAAAGTTTTTTTTTCTTTTCTTCGCTTTGTGTTAAAAAAGGGGTAATGAATGATGGAGGAATAGAGTCAGAAATGGTTTGCTGATCATATTTGTAACCATCAATGGAATCCTAGGTTAGGTCCCTTCTGTACAGTTTGTGGCACATAATGGCATTATTGGCACATTGTTCAGTATCACAGTTCAGTGTTTCAGTGGCCTTTGGGATACTCCACGTTTTGATGTCTCACCTTACAGAACTCCGCATGCTTAGTTTCATTTCCATCTATATAGTTCTATATATATGAAATGCCACAGTTTTCTTCATAATAATAAGAACTGGCATCTGTTTACTTTTATTTTTAGAAAAATAAATTTGTTCATGAAAGTCCAGATGAGTCCCACAGTTGTACAAAACCTGTTGCTTATGTATTTGCTTGTTTTGCTTTGTTTAGAGGTTTACCAAGGGAATCCTGTGAAGAGAAACACAAACAATTAAATAAGCACATGAAGCACATGCAAGAGTATTCTAAGCTATAACAATGAATAACAAACCTGAAGAGGCAGCACAGACGAGCTGCTTCTATGAACAGTTGATTTCAGAAATGCACCACATTATCGTAAGGATGCAAAGCCAGGCAAGACTATTGAATGCCTCGGCATGCATCAAATTTCATAACCTGTAATCCTCAGAAGGGCACAGAGTAATTCCAATTCAAAAGCAATGAAAATTCATTCCCTCTTGAGTGTTAACATGGGCACCAGACCATACAAACAACCATGTATGCATGACCATTTTTTATCCCAGCTTCCAGGTTTAATGTTCCCAAAATCTGCTGAGAGAAACCGAACCAACTTACTGTGGTTTGTAGCCTTTGTTCCAGCTAAGCCTTTATGGATCACTGAACTAACACCTGATAGGTCTATGATTTACACTCTTCTGTAAGACGATAATTGCATCTGAAGAGAGAGTAACTATATTATAGGCATAATGATGCACCAGCACACTCAGCAATAAGAACATTGTTCATGCTCTTGGGAATGTTATCATATGGTCTCATGCAGCTCTACGCCTTTGTATTTCATCTCTGGGTTCAAAAGGTCTAAGAAAATGAAAAAAGTAGTTAACCAAAGCCAAGTAACATATAGACAAGTACACAAATGAACAAAGCAAACATTGTCTCAGCAATGTCACAACATTGACACTTTTTAACAATATATGAACAAGTGATATGGTTTATAGGTGGTTAAATCCTAATGTTTATAAATTTTGTGACTCTTAATTGTGTATTAATTTGAAACAAATAAATCTCCAATTAAATCACCCCATTTATTTTTGTTAACCTTCCTCATTTTTGTTAAAGCAGGCATATTTCATCATGAGGAGTCACCCACAATCCTGCCTTGTGCTTACTGTCTGACTGATTGGGCCTGGCTGTCTATGACCCTTGTTTTGGACTGAGGAGTTATTGAAAACGGATGGATGAGTATATAAGGAATATATAATGATTTGTTTTTTTACTGTAGCATTTTTTACAGTAAAGTAAATAAGGAAAAATCTTATTTTCCAAGCACAAAAGATAGGCTCAGAAATAAAACGCTCTTATCTCTTCATGGTCATGTATAACAGAAGAATCAGATCGGTGAATACTTCAGTCTGGCATTCTTAACAAAGCACATTTTTCTTAGCTGCAGCAAATACTTTTGCAGAGCACACACAGAATTTCTCATTTTTAATTACACTTTTTCAAAGTCTCCCTTGTCCCTTGTTCAGTTACTTTCCAGGCAAGAAATGAGACGCACACAAAACTCTTCGGTTCTTCATAGTTGTTTTCTTGCTTTTCTTCCCTGACTTACTTCAAACAGAGCTTTGAAATGCAACCTACTTTATTTGGTCTTCAATTCAGGCTAGAAAGGAAATTCCTATATAAAGCTCTACAACACACCTTTCATTTTGCGGGAAAAATAAAAGAGTATCTTGAATTTAAATGCAGCCATAATGAAATTAAAGAGTGTTTTGGAAAATTATATAGATTATACAAAAAAACAAAGAACTCTGAGACAAAAAATAACTGAAGGTAATTTTTTAACCAACCTAAAAAAAAGGCTAATTTTCACAGTGATTTGGTCATCTCTTCTCCCTGCCTTTCTGACCCTTTCTGAAACACATTTGCTCATTTTAAACCTCTCCAAGGATGGACTTTAGGCGTGATCAGTTAAGCAAATAAGAAACTAGCACCTTTAAACAACAGGAAGGTGAAAAGATAATCTTCCAATATTTTTTGTAAACTATTAGGATTTGACTATCCCTCTCTTTACTTGAATTATAATGAGAACAGCCAGCATATTTCTGTACTCCCTCCTTTCTCTGCAGGACCTGCAGGCACTCTGTTCTCATTAAAATCTGGGTCAATAACAAAGACTTGATTCCCTTGGAAAATTCTTCCCCCATAGGGTTTACACCATTTCGGTGCCTTCATTTTTTTCTTCCCGACTGTATTTAGACTTTTAAATGAATCCAATTCAGTGTGCTGAACCGTAACAGAAAACATAAAGGTCTCATTTTATTAAGTTTAGAAAGAATAGGAGTCCAGTACCTGCTTCTAAGGGGGCCTTAGTTCCTATACAGTATTGTACGTCATTTCAAGGAAATGACTAAAAGCTGAATCTTTCAAATGTGCTGTAAATGTTTATTTATAGTTATTTCTTATTTCAATTTCTGCCTTCACTTTCCATTTCATAATACATTACTGTGGCATTTTAATTTGATGAGGTGCTACTGAAAATTAATCCAAAAATGAAAACTGGGTGTCCTTGGAAAATACAATACAAACACTATTCTCAAGAAAAAGTTCTGCTTTCCCCTGTAGCCATAACCTGATGCTTTAATGTTTAATATACGAACACCCATAATGGTATTGTATCATTTTTGTTATGTCCCTACATGAGCATGATGAGCCATAATGAGCTATACAGTGTATACATAAACTGTACAAAGTGTATACACAAACTGCTTAAAATTGCACATATACAGTACATAAGGTTGCAATATACTGTATACTGTAGCTACTTATATAGCTTATACTGTATATAACTACTTACTGTATATATATATGGCATACAGTATATGCCATATTTCAGGAGATACAGACAGCATCCAAATTATTATGTATTTAAAAGCCTATTAAATGAGATTTTAATGACATGCAGCGCTTTGGTTTGAGAGAAGACCACCTGGCTTTGAGGAAGAGGCTGTAGGAACGTCACTATGGGATGAGCCAATGGGTTTACTGCAAGGTGACGGCAGGGCTGGGACTGAGTTTCTCCCAAATCTTCTGTACTCCCTTAGCACACATGCAAATTGGTGTATGTATGCTTACATACTGTAAGTGTATGTTACTTTTCACCCCCTTGTCTTCAAAGCTGTTACAGATTGTGACCACAACCCAGCTCCAACTAGAAAAAATGTTGAAATTCTGTCCTAGCAAGTTTTGAAGAAAAAGAAAAAAAGAAACATTCTTCTTCAAAGCACTAAGGAACTCCCTTTCATCACACAAATATACAGTAGCTCTATATACAGTACCCTAAAAGTAGCATGCATATGGCGTGTATATAATGTACAGTACACACTTACAAACACATAAATACAAATCCATACGTGAGAGAAAGACATTAATTCAGGCTTGGAAAGAAAAAGAAGTCTTAATTAATTCTTCATATGATAAGTGCCAGTCAGCACTTGCAGTACAACACTGGCATTATTCAAAATGCTGTAAAGTGTTTGTGTAATAGGGCTGAATATAACACACACTCCATTTTTACAAATTATCCTCCCTTTACTCGATTTGAGTACAATTGGTGCAGAGATTTTTTTTTTCACAAAACCCATTTTGATTTTTGTTTTATTTTTGTGGAGTAGGGGGGGAGTTGAGGGGAAAAAAGACACACAGATTGGCTGGGTAGACTGATCCTATAAGGATTTGCACAGCAGACCCATGCAAAGGTGGAAAAACAGCTCATAATGCTTGCAATGAGGAATGGTTGGAAAAACAGCAATATGGGAAAAATAATGAAAATGTACCTACCTTTGCCTCTGGAGAAACAAGATTCCTATAGTGTAAGCATTACATCTTGGATTTAATAATCTAATCTAACATCTTAATTTTCCTACAATTACATTCCACTTGAAATTAAGAAAGCACCCAAAGCTCTATAAGTCTTACTGTAAATTGCTACATGCATGAAAAAAACACTTAAAACTGTATTTAAGATTGCATACTACAGTGATGTAAATTAGCATAGCAGGAAACACCGACAGTAAATATTTAGGTAGACGAAACAACAAATACCTGCAGAGCAAACAAGGGAGACTCACTGTGTCATTTAGAGAGGTACTGTAGCTTTACGCGTGGCGACAAACTGAAGGCTGGCGCATGGGTGATTGGCTTGGGTTTTGGCTTGAGAAAAGCTCGAGGAACATATTGAGGTACGTACCAGGAAACAGAAACACGAAGTCTGTTCCGCCCACAGGAAGTAAAGCGACTTCGGCCAGTCAGCAGGAGATTTCAAACCATTTCTCAGAGACAAAGGCCACTGGAATTAGCTGCCGTTCGGTGGGCGAAGGTCTGCAGCGAGCAGAAAAATGGGCTTGTGTGTACTGGTTCATGACAAACAACACACAGGCCTGCCACAAAAAATCTCTCTATCCTCGGTGGGAAAAATAACTGTGTTGCTGTGGATTCCCCTTAAAAATAATGCTTTGTTGACTTGAAAAATTAATATAAATATAATTTCAGAAATAAAAGTAAACCTCACGTAGCAGTAATGAAGTCATTATGAAACCTCTACAACTGTTTAATACAAATAAAAATGAAACTACCATTTGTATATTGTACTGTATTCACATTTACCTGTAGGTCTTGCTACATGTAATGTATTAACAAAATTTAGTTTAACTAACATCAAGAGAATTAACAGGATCCTGGATAGGTTGCCTAACTGATAGTCCCAATTCGTCGGAACTGCTTTTCCATTAATAAATTCATGAGACTGTAATGTGAACACAATGAAACATAAAAACATAAAAGTCTAAGCTCCCCTGTGACTTAACCTTAGTAATCACCTAATAATAGAAGTGTTAGCACATCTGCACCTCTATGCTTTCTGCCTTAATGAGATGCAGTATGAGGAGTTGGTATGGTAACAGGTTTTAGTCAATGTCTAGCATTTTTTGTCTTTTGAATTTTTCAATTATTATTATCATTACTATTCTTAACAGTAGCTGTTTCCGAATGAGCTCTGAATGTGCCTTTAATTATTATTAGCAGCAAATATTATATGGTCTTAATTGCTATGTACTATTACCAATTCTAGGTTATTAACCTAATGCTCAAAAGAGTGTAATAAATACTTCACTTATTAGGTAAATTAATCTATGCAGGAAATGCCAATTTACATTTAAATTTATACCACCCTGAAAAATCAAGACAGTGTTTTTTGCTTGATCTTTTTAAGATTCATCCATAAGTTCTCTATACACAAAGCTGGACCTGCACAGTGCTTGATGCTCTGGCTTAAGCTCTTCCCTGCAAGCACGAAAGCAAGCCTTCGACTGACACCTTGCAATCATTTATCGCGATCCTTTTAAAATCTCAACAAATGCAACACTTTCTGCTAATGATTTTGTATGAATGTGTTGGGCAATGTAAAAACCCCTTGAAATGTCTGGATACAAAGCATGATTGTGGAAAAGAGGACAAAAATGGAACACTGGAATGAAAGACGGGGCATGAATCTTTTTATTTGGAAGTTGTTTCAACAAAGCATTACTTTCTCTGCCAGGTAAAACCTCTTACCAACGGATGCTGACGTGTTTGCACACAAGAACACTGAACACACAGGGAACTAAGGACCAACATGACTCAATGTGGTCTGGAGACACAACAGCAGGTTCAACAAACCGTTTATACAGCAGTGTTATATACTCTAGCTAGAGCCCAGTGACAAAGATGAAATGAAATAAAAATGAAAAGAAACATGTAAATGCAGCTGTTGAATGAACAATGAATGAACAATAAAAACCAGTGCAAGTGAATTGTGATGCAAGAATGGCCTTATTTCCCTACAGCAGCCTTTCCCTCTTTATAAAACATGTCATATCAGCTGTAGACTGCGAGTTTAGAAAAAGTTCTGCAAGAGGAAGTCAATCTAAATTTAATATTACAAATAGAACATTTACTAGCTTGTGATTCCTATGGATCATTAGTAGACTACAGATATTATGTCTTAATTCCTTTTGGGCCTTTTGGGAGAGAGGAAACCACGCTTGATTGACAGACTGACTCTCAGTTAAATCTGTTATGGGATTATCCTTGAAATCTCTGCACCAATAATGCACACAAGAAATGTTAACGAATGTTTAAGCAGAGAAGATCATGTCCGATTGTCTTTTCTCTATCTAAACCCAGCAAATAAAGCACTTGAGCAACAATTCTTGTTGACACATGTGTCACTCAAGTGGGAGCAAATAGCACGATAATTGTTCTACACATTTATAATTAATAAATCCTAAAACATAAATATGAGATACATAGTCTACATTAAAGAGATTTTTTAGCAGTCTCCTGAATTACTGTTTAAATGGTTCAAGTAAAAAAAAACAGATATTTCCATGTTTTTATCTGGGTCTTCTTAATTGCGATTTAGTGACCATTTCTGAATGCATGCTTACCTATTTCCATTATATGCTGTCTTGTAAACCGGGGTCTGCTGTATCATTTCATCTGTATACACTGGCACTGCAGTCCGCACACATTCGTGGGAGCACTGTAAACTATCGTTGTAGGCAGTGAATATGTCTACACTGCTGGGAATCCGAGCGTGAGTAAAATCAGTCAAGTTCTGACAGCTCTCCTCCTGTTGGTTGATCTTCCTCTGGTGGCTGTTATGGCGCCCATTTCCACTCTGTGCACAGCTACAAATACAGGTACCAAAAAGACAAAGCAAAAATAAAATCATACCTTGTGCCACACACTGAGGTCTTGTTAAGTCAATGGGGAAAATGTCACAAGCAGCAAAAGCACTTACTCACTTCGGGGTAAAAGCAGAGAACAAATTACTGTACAGTCTGAGGCAGTCTGGTAACTAAGAAAAACACAAGGCTGCAATTCTACTACATACACACCACAAAAAATGCCACAAAAATTATGTTTCTGAAACATCAATAGAAATGCAAACAAATTTACAATTTTAACTTGAGAAGGCAGCCTGCGTTATTTCGGGGAATTTGTGAATTTTGGATCGAAACCCTCGATACTGAATGAAAATAACAGGCCTTGTGATTTACCTTTACAGATTTATTTTAAAAAGGTTGTTCCTACTGAATTGAGCTCAGAGACATAGGCTTGCGCTTCGTAGCTCTAAGAAAAAAAAATAAAATGTACATGCCATGTATGAGAAAAACTATAAAGCAGAATGGGATTCATTATTCCCTAGTCGTTGTTTGTTGAGACAGTTATGTTTTCAAACTCTATAGTTTTTTTATACTAAAGCCTTTTCTCAGGACAGGGGATTCCACTTGTAAAGTGTCAGAAGAGAGAATCAGTGTCTGCTCTTCCAAAGTCATGAACTAAGTGATAAATCCAGCAGAGGATTGACCATATTGCCCCACTGCAACTGGGACACATTTCAGATTGAGCTCGGTCATCCCGATCGATAGCTTGGCTCACCAATTGAAAAGAACACTACATGGTATAAATCAGAGGATAACGTTTCTGTTTGGAGCTGCATGACTGAAAAACGCAAAGGTCAAGTTAGACGTGGGCACTCCAGTTTGTTTCAAAGGGAGAAGGAAAGCGTGTGCTGAGTGTGGTGAGGGACATCGTTATTAAAGAGGTCTAAATTAAAGATCCAAAATTTCTAAATCAAATTCAACAAGGTAGAAACATGGATGTAGGGACTCCCTCCTACCAGTTCTTAAGGACGAGTGTTGTTATCAAGGCAGCGATGACCATGATAAGAGACACAGTGATTGTGATTATCTGGTGAACTGCCAGACCTGAAAATAAAGCACAAGAAAGAACAGGAAGTAATCCAGCTTTGAAAGGGCGTGTTTAATGCATCTTCAAAGCCATTTGAATAGCCTGTTTTAACACCCACTGCTGAAACTGAATGCAAAGAAAGCTAGAAAAAACGCAAGGAAAAGAGGTGTGAACAGTAATAAAGTAAAACACATGTGACGTTCTCAGCCATTTACATGTAAAATGGTGAATGTTTTGGGACGAACGAAAAAAAACAAGCATACCAATTGACTAGCTTCATATTCAAAAGATTCCACAGATGTACAAAAAATTAACAGTGCGCTAAGTTAAATATAATCAGTTAGAAGATTATTGGATTGTGTACATAACCTATTACAGAAAGATGCGACTAGGTATCCTAATATTAATAGAAAAGTTTGCATTGAAGACACAACTGGTTATAGGTCACAATTCATCCGGAGAAAACATGAAAAGTGAAACTGTAGAACAGAGAACATCTTTTCTTAAAGAAAATATAAAAGGAGGGCTCAGATGAGGTCTGTTTTTCTGTCACTCACTTACATGGATAAATTGCTCTTCAAAAGCAAATGACCACCTTCAAACCAGTCCCATTACTGTGTGTGTTACAGAGACCTGACTGCAATTGCAATGTAGTAGCCCTCTATCAGTATTGACTACTTTGTTACAGATCAAACTGAGATTTAAGGGTGACTCCCTGCCAATTACTGCCAATTACCTGTATAACCAATTTAAAAATTAACTTCAATGTAAAAAATAAATAAAAAATAATGCCTGGTTGCTGCAGTGCATATTTATAATGAAGACAAAATGTTAATTAGGCATAATAAATATTCGAATGCATTGCATCGACATATACAAAATTAGGCACTTTGATCAATCCTGTACATTGCAGAAATATAATTTTAAATCCAAAAGAGCAGTAGCAGATGCTATATTAAGTTAACATTTTCATTATTTGTTTAGAGACTCGCTGTTACGTCCCCGTGCGTGTCCCTATGTTTTGCTTTTTTCCCCTAATTTCCTGTATTCAGGTACCCCCTTCCTCCCATTGGTCCATCACTCCCATTGATCATTGACTCCTGGCCAATCGGCAACCAGACCTCAAGTTTAAATACCTGAAGAAGGTTCGACTCTGATGAGCTCCGGCTCAACTTAGAACTCTTATTGCTTGGCCTTTCGCTTGTTTTGTTAGCTTACACTTTGTTTTTGCTTGTCGCTTTTGCACCTAACTTTTGTGATCATGCTTCCTAAGTCCCTCACAGGAAAGCCCACCTGCATCCAAACCCATCCTAAATGTTACACCCCTTTACCACTAGACACCTGGGGTCATAGCACTCACTATAAAGTATCTCACTGAACTGATTTAATGTTGTATTTTGTTTTCTGACCTCAAATTGAATCCCCTCATTTATAGTTATTGGTAGTATTTATTTTTGGCTATTTCTGGCCCTCAATTTTAATGTTTTTGTAAAATAAAATATATTTAAGAGTTTTTTTTGTCTAGTTCATAGTTAAAACCTAATCAAATTTTAATAACATATATGAATTAACAATTACTTTTTTGGGAAATGACCTACCACTATTTTTAACAGCATGCTTTGGTTACTTGAAAATATTTCATTATCATGTTTTTATAGGACAATGTCAAACAATTTTTGTTTTTTATAAAAATAATTACTAACAATTATATAGCACTTTTTTGGACACTCCACTCAAAGTGTTTCTCAAGTAATGGGAACTCCCCTCCATAGTGCGCCAGAATGCTCACCACATATCAGTTATCAGTGGGCAGGAGAACAGTGTGTTGAAGCCAATTCATAGATGTTAGGCCATTAGGCAGACTTAGAAAAGTCTTGGGGGACATCTGGCCAGGACACCAGAGTAACACCCCTACTCTTTTTGAGAAATGTCCTGGGATTTTTCAAGACCAGGGAGAGTCTGGACCTTGGTTTTACGTCACATCCAAAGGACAGCACCTTTTTTACAGTATAGTGTCCCCATCACTATATTGGGGGATGAGGACCCACACAGACTGCAGGGTGAGCGCACCCTACTGATCCCACTAACACCTCTTCCAGCAGAAACCTTAGCTTTCCCCCATCCAGGTACCAGCCAGGCTCACACCTGCTGAGCTCCAGTGGGTTGCCGGTTGTGAGCTGCATAGTGATATAGCTGCTAGCTTTATCTTTTCTGGTCTCGCCCTGCAATCATTAATTGCATGACAGGCTTGTAGAAGACACCACCACTGAGAAACATAATGTCATTTAGCAGACACATACTCTATCTTACATATCACCTGGGCTTGTTTTTTCCATAACCAATGAATTCTAAACATCTGTGCTAATTAGTTTATTAAATACACAAGTCTAAAATCACAGTGACTTACAAGCCTACTGAATTAAAACACAGTGCAAGATCCCCCCACATGCCTAAAACAGTCACATTCAGGGAGATTCCCTTTGCATTTTCATTTCAGGTTCTCTAACCCAACCATGTAAGCCAGGGGATTAGAAGGTTCTGACAGTCCCTGATGCACAGAGATGGAAATCTTAATGCACCTTGTAAGGCAGGAATAGCTCCCTAAAAGACAGGAAAGCAGTTATTGTTTTTAAACCTTGGAACTATCCAAGGTCCTGAACTCTAACTGTGTAAGAAGATCAGAAATCTCTTGGAACAGTGTTAAAATGCTATTAAACTAATGCTAGTAGTACTACTTGTAGGCATTTTATAGCATTTATCTTTCCACAGCACTTCCAATATAGGAAGAAAGAGCACATCGACCCTCTGTGATTAACAGCAACCACCTTGGTGAAGCGTGGCAGCTTCCTCCTACTGTATGTGACAGGATCCCCCCTACAGAACACATTAGCAGGAAAAATGAGAACTTGCTTGCCCCTTCAAATGAAGAAGGAACTTCAGGAATGACCAAGCAGCACCCTGAGATCCATAATGTTCCATAATGAGTTTAACATCTCATCCAAATGACAGCCTCTCCTGCCACCTTTCTGGGGTAATTCTTTTAGGCAACAGGGACTACAACTTGAGTATTAGACTGAAAAAGCAAAACCAAGGGAAAGCAAAAATATAAATATGAGGCTGTTTTGAAGGGAAACTATTAGTAATGTTTTTGCTAGGGTGTAGTATAATGATTTCTGGTGACAAAGTACTGAAAAAAAAACCCACCAGCTGTGTTATTCAAATGTAGGCACTTCGCAAATCATTGACCACTCATTTTAACACAGACAAAGCACTGGAAAGTACATACTGTATGTGTTCATTGTAAAGAAAGAACCTAAATTAGCTTGAAAGCTAAAGAGTTCTCAGTCCAACATCTTTAATTGACATGCCCCAGCACTTAATTGCAGACTGCTGCTGTCTCTTTCACAGCAGATACACACTAGAATGCAATGCTAATTTAGCAGGACCAGAAATGCAGACCTGTCAACTTTGGATTAATGACAGCCTGACCTAATTCTGAAACTTTTCCTGCCCTGTCATTTAGGATCCTAATGCTCAGAAGGCAAATTAGCTCTTATCTGGCAGTGATTTACATTTTCTTTTCACTGTACATTTCTGACATCAAGGCAGAAGTTGAAATTAAAGGGTAACAGATTAACATCAAGAGAAATTTCAACAAGGAAAGATTTTGCCCTTCACCTTGTGCTTTGTCTGACTGTCAAAATAATGTTTCTTCAGTAGTTACCATGTAGAGGAAACTGAATAAAAAACAATGCAAACCCAGTGGCAGAGCAAACATCAGAAAACCAAACTACACCAGCATATATTAAATTGCAAGCACTAAACCAACACCTATTCATTATCAGAAAGCTACATACTCCTGATAAGGGTTGCTGCAACCCTATAGTGCACACTGGATGGAACACCAATCCAATGTATGGTGCTCACACACCATATACAGAAATAATGAGGCACCAACTAACCCAACCACAACTCTTCAGAATAAGTGAGGAAACCTGAGTATCATTCTGCTCACATTTCACCCTCTGCTAACTTCTCATAATTCTCATTGTTTCAAATGGGAAACCAATCCAAAAGTTTTCTTCCATGTTATTCTCAGGCAGAACGGGAAACATTTCCAAAAAGCACAAAGCAGTTTTTCTTACCCTTTTGGCCAATTCATATACAGTAATCACAATAAGACTAGAAGTTCATGTCTTACAATTCTATAAAGTCCTAAAGAAACTCAAAAAGTGTTCATTTCTGTTAACTTTAAAAGCCTGTAAATACAGATTATCTTGTCTTCAATCACAGCTTCAGCAAGACAACTCGAAATCATTGTACTGTACAAGCAGTTTGCTTTTTTAAAAAACAAGCAATTGTCATGATACATGGTGGCTCCCTATTTCCTGGAAAATATGTGAACAAATTGTGTGCTTCTTATGATAGGGAAGGGTTAGCTTAAAACTATTTTAGTCTAATATGAGAAGCACTGAAATATATGTGGAATCCTTAGGGGTTTTTTAGGATAAACAGAATGGTGCTAAAGTTCAATTTCCTTATACATTAGAACATTATGAAAACCATATTTTTAAAATCAACACTAGGTATTAATATATAGAGCCTGAAGCTGCTGGATGTTATACAGTACTGTATCACCCAGTAGAGAAAAAAAGAAACATAGAACTGAAGACTGTTAATAAAATAATGTTGTAACAGTGATTTTGTACAGAACTCATAGTTTGGTAGGTAGGTTTTGGGTATATAACATATTAGATTATAAAATATCTCTCTCTGGTACTTGCCAATCAATATGTAGCCCTCACAACTGGCACAATATAATGTGGCTACCTATTTCCTTATGTGCCAAAACTAAATATGTGCCTTTAAATTTAAATAGGAAGGGCATTTAAATTTAAAACACATACTGTACAGTACATTGCGTTCAGTAACTATCCTTTTCAAATACCTCACATAAACACATTTCAATACTTCTACATTTCAAGAACTGTAACATTTTGAAAACTGCATTTATAGT